CGACGAACGTCGTTAAACCACGTCTGACTCAGGTGGTCTAGAAGTGGTACAATTACACTACTTTCTAATTTGTAGTAATTTCTAATGGGTAGGAGAGATATGAAGTATCGGCCGGAGAGGACACCTGAGTCTCGGTTAAAAAGAGCAAGGCCGGCTTCGCCGTCTCTAGGTGGTAATGGACAGCGTTAAGGTTAGAATGAAGTCCCCTGATGTTGCAAAAATTCACGGACAGCGTGACAGGGGTCGCCTTGGTTGTATTGCTCCGCTTGCCCCGAGCAGCATTAGTCGCGAGCGGAATTTTGCCCCCCCCCCCCCAGAATACGCGGGGCAGCCTGAGCCCCCACGCTCAGGAGTGAAGTAGTTTGATCGTGGGTGCTCAGCGAGAGATTCTCCAGGGGTGCTGGTACCCTCCTGGGGTAGTCTTTTATTTAATTCCACTACCATGTTGATGGGGGGGGGGGGGATTGAGCCTCCGGCCACCTGAAGTCACCAAGCGCAACGTAGAGGTAAACCTCTACTTCACGCTGGTATTCTGTGAGATCGTGGTACCACCCCGGTTCGAGCTGGCCCATCCGTGCGACAGCAAAAGCTACCGCTTAGCTCTACCACTGTTAATCTTACAGTACTCTACCAATGTTAAGCTTACAGTAGGTGGCGCGCGTAATGTACCAACAACTCCAATGAATGTATTATCATTCCTAATCTATACAAATAAATCAAATTGAAGTGTCGCATACGCATATGAAAGTGTATACGGTACTTACAACAAAAACACAATTTTTAAAATTTTTGTCTGTCTGTCTGTCTGTTTGTTCCGGCTAATCTCCAAAATGGCTGAACCGATTTTGACGGGACTTTCACTGACAGATAGCTGATGTTATAAGGAGTAACTTAGACTACTTTTATTTTAGAAAAAGAATTATGCTTCCGTGCAAAATAAAATTAAAACATATAAAATCCAATCGTAATAAATTACACGCAGGCAAAGTCGCGCGGAACAGCTAGTTATACAATATAACTCTTCCAAATTTAAAACGATATTTCTACAGTTCTTTCTTCTGCGGCGGCAGCGCGCCGGGTACCAGCTAGTTATTTATAAAATAAAACATGCAAGTTTTTTGACGATAGTTTTTTTTTTCACCGCCAAATAACATAAAGTTGGCGATAAAAAGAGCACTAGAGCAGAAAGAGCGCGTCTAGTTGTTCTTATAGGATACATTCCGTAGGATGGGTGCAGGAATTATGTGATATTAATCCTTACTTCTACTTTCCACCATCAAACAACCACACAGTCGGCGGATCTCTAGGCCTTTGTTGTAGATATTCCACGCATTTATTTATTTATTTATACTTTATTCCACCAAATATTTGTACAAAAGGCGAGCTTAATGCTATATGGCATTCTCTACCAGCTAACCTTGGTCTACCCAAAACTCAACTCTACTCAACAGAGAGTGAGTTTGGGCAGTTAAGTTGTCATGACATAATTCAGTTCAAATATATACATGCAACACACACATAAAATGTACACACATATAAAACAGAATTTATAAAATAAACGAAAGAACCTACAGCTGAACATACGAACCAGATGGTAAGTGGCTGCTGCAGTCCATGGACACTAGCAGCCAACATCGCACAAAAATGGTTTAGATGCGTTATCATCTCTGAGGATTAAGATAACATGAGTCACAGCCTGACTATCTGCACAATGTAGACCGGAACACAGCAATGGTAGCACTACTATTTGGCGACAGACAGAGATTTGGAGACAGAAATAGTTAAGAATGTTGTACCTGTCCAGAAAGAAACCCACACAGATGGACTCCCTACATGCCCGTAAATTTTATCATTATGTTACGTATTATTATTGATTTATTTAGATCACAATCAATGGGAGGGCGGGGCGTGCTCTCAAAACTCTCAAAACATCCTTTTAATTTTTACGACGGTCTTAAAAATAAAATTTATGTGTCTTACGCCGATATAATTCCTTCCACTCTCAGACAACCAGACGTTCGGCCAGTCTCCACCTTCTCATTCGAACCAAATGGTTAACTATATCGTTCGTCATGCGTAGTGCGAGTGGAATAAGTTGCCAGCATCTGTCTATCCATCCGATTACAATGTGGTGAGCCGCATGCTCGTTCGCCCGAACTACTATTATAAAAAAAATGTTTATACATTAAAAACAACCAATTAATGTAACAACAACAATACTACGAACAATTAGCGTGCAAAACGCACACGGAAGGAAGGCGCCAAGCCGGCTCTGCACGGTTGTCACTAGTAATTGCTTTAGAAGTGCTCGCTAGCACGCACTATAGAGTAACCACAACACAACAATGTTTTCATTTATTCAGTGATTAAATTAGTTCAATTTTATTTATTACCAGAATCTACTACATAATGTCATGATCTTATTAGTAACTAGCGATCCGGCCCGGCTTCGCACAGTTGATTACTGGATTTCGACAACAACGCCATCTACTAGGGCCAATTGTAAATCTAAACCATTTTCTAATATACTTAAGAACACACACAAAATTTCATCAAAATTGGTCCAGCCGTTTATAATAATAATATAATAATAATAATATTTTATTTGCATAAAACATGGTATATAGTAGATTTTGCAGAACGTTTCAGATCAACATCTTTTGCTACGGTTATTCATAGCGTGCAAATTTTTTACATTAATATTTTTGGCTACAAAAATCCTTAACACTATAGAAATTGCAATCATTTAGCCACTGATATAGTTTTAATTTAAATGATTTTGTATTTAATATTTTTAATTAATTAGGTATCTTATTATATAAGTGAACACACATAAATAAACAACTTTTATTATATTTTCTTATTCTAGGATGATCGTTTAATACAAGTCTATATGGATCTCGACGACTGCGGGGATTTACATCATCTACCGTTGTAAACAACTTTTTGTGCTTCTGTACAAACATACATACTTCATAGATATAAAGTGATTGTAGTAGTAATAAGTCAAGTTTTTTAAACACTGGTTGACACGATTCATTGGGTTTTAGCCCACATATCGGTCTAATGCATTTTTTTGCGCGAGAAATGCTTTATTTTGATCAGTGCTCTTAGGAAGAGTTCAATCACATACACACGGACAGAAGAACTATATAATATGTATATAATATGCATGTATTATACATATTATATAAACCTTCCTCTTAATGAAGGCACCGCATCAAAATCCGTTGCATAATTTAAAAGATCTAAACGTACAGACTGCGGGAAGCGACTTTATTTTATACTATAATATAGATTAATGAGACCTAACACGACACTCTACAATGATAATGGCGTGGCATATCTTTACTTGGATATACATATACTAAGGTATTATTAGAATTACAATTCAATGAATTAAATTGTTAAAGGAGCATGATCAGAAAATTAATTAGATGTTAGCATTTATTTATTTAATTATGTATGTAATGAAATGTATTATTTATTTTACGGTTACGGTGGTGTATCATATTTTCTAGTGTAGAGGTTGGTGTGATATTGCGGCTTAGTGACGGCAATAATAAAATACGCAATTGTGAGAAGGAGGTTCACTTCAAACTTATTAATATACACTATTTTTGTTTTGCATTTAGAACTTATATAATTTATATTGTCTTTAATTTAATCACTTCGCGTGAACATATTAATACCGTTTTGTATTACATTGCATGATTTACAGCAGCGAAACAAAAGTATTTCTATATCCTGACTAGCATAATACTGACGTTAGCACCGCTGACAGACGACTGCTGCGCTTGCGCGTTCTACCACGACCGAAAGTCAAACTGGTATGAATGCACCGCACCGAGCGCCGTCTCGCGTTAATTCTTGAAATTAGCGTTTGGCGCGAACAACTACTAAAATGTCTTGAGTCAAATGATATACGTATATTTGCCGCTATTCGCCCCGCAGACTAACAATTAACCTATTTCATCCCGCGGATGTCGTGAGAGATAACTATGTATTTTATAGAATAAGAATGACAAACGAACACACAATCCACCTGATGGTAATTGGATGTTGTGGCCCATAGACACATTCATTTATCCTCAATTAAAAATCAAAATGCAGATGCGTTTTCATCCCTGTAAAAAGGGTCTCGAGTTCTCTATACTCACCATACGAAACAGAGCAGCAATGCGTTGCTATTTTACGCTAGTTTTCTGTGAGTGGTCCTTCCCCCGTCAAGTCGACCCATTCGTGCTACAACCATAATATAGCTGCAGCATAACTCTACCACATAAAATATGAAATGTCAGAAAAAATTTATGCATTCAGATACATTATACATTCATTAAATTTTATACGTGGTAGAGCCATGCTGCAGCTATATTAGTAGTATAGTTGTAGCATGAATGGGTCGTCTCGACCGGGAAAGGACCACGCTCTCACAGAATACCAGCGTAAAGTAGCAGCTTAATGCTGCTGTGTTTCGTATGGTGAGTGTAGAGAACCGGAGACGCTTTTTACTGGAAAAGGGGCATTCCATCTTAGTCCTCACGGATGAGAACGCATCTGCATCTTGAGTCTTTATTGAGGATAGAAGTAGATGTCTATGGGCCACAGCAACCACTTACCATCAGGTGGACTGTGTGCTCGTTTGTCACCCTTATCCTATAAAAAAATCATGACAGTAAAGTTATTTCGTTTGACCAGACGCAAAAATTTCAGACAAGCGGCAGCTGTTCGATAATCGTCAATCCGCCTATCAAAGGTGCATGAAAACCTCCCTAAAAAGAGAGAAGACCTTTTTCAGCAATGGACTTAAATTTTCTGATGAATAAAAAGATAAAGATACGTAATTTATTACGTTGAGCGCTACTAAACTATCTAAAGAAAATTAAATTAACAGCTCTATGTAGATTTCGCAACAATGTAGGTACAACGGAAAAACGAAGCTCGTGTGCAAACGCAGTAGCGCAGACGGATGGGCTACCTTGCGCGGCACGGTCACCAAAATGGATTTGCTTGTGAGTTACGTATCACTTTTTTAACATATTTTTATAATACTCTTTAAAAGTATAATTAATGGTGTGGTCTTCCTACATTTACTACCATCTGCCACGTTCTGGTTTTATGGAGCCGACTGTATCAGGTTTTTAATGATTTCATTACCATTAAAATACCAATAGTTTTGAGATTTGCGACATGAGAAACAAAATGCCTTCATAAGTAAATAAAGCACATCGACATTTTTTAGCCAAGTGACTCGTGTGTACACTCGAATCGGAAGTCGGAGCTATTAAAAAAGTTGTAGAGTTTGATACTTTTAGACACTTTTGATACTTACGAGATAAGTATTTTTAACAATTAATAGTAAACATATAGTTTACCCCTACCATTTTAATAGCTCCGAAAATGTATATATAACTATTTAATTAGATGTATACTCGTGGACAAATTTAGAGGAACGCAAAAAAAAGTGTGCAGTTTACACGTGATCGTAGTTAAAAAATCTTGAAATATAAAATAAAAATATGTCACGGCAAATGATTTATTTAATATGATCATTTAAAACCGCAAGTGCAACATAAAATAAGTATAAGATAAAAGTTTAATTTTATAGCAAATAAATGGTACAATCCTTTTTTAGACTTAATTTAAATGTAATTAATCAAAATTAAGTCATTTTATCGAACAAACATTGATTGACTCTCAGGGTGGAACGTAAAATAGACGATGTATAGACTGAAATTATGAAATCGTGGATTAGTATAAATGGATTGGTATATCCAGATAATTATATTTAGTATGGTTAATTTTATTTATTTATAAAATTCCTTAATTTGTTAAATAAAAAAAATATTTAAAAAAGACAGTAGTCACAACCTTTGGAGTTTGCGTTCTACACTGTATTCTATCTCATTCCCTCCTATAGATGGATATGTTTGTCTCTTTTTAGTGTCGATTTTTGGTTTCATCGCGTTTCAAATGACTACGATTGTAAAGGAGTTTTCACTTCAAAGTGTGTATAAAACAAAATATCATGGATATTTGTGACAATTAAACGAAAAACCAAACAATCAAATGATAAAAATTTACCAATTTAAGAAAAAAAGACAATGTTTATACTTAACATTTTAATTTTTTTCATAAATGCTTATGAAAGGCCGCAACGTGGGCTTTAATCAGTACATGTTGTGTACAGTGTTGCCCCCTCGGAGGCAGGATTTCTTTTCTTAATTTGTCTTCCAAGCTTATTTCATACAAGATGTTCTGTGGGGCTTAAGTCGGGGAAGTGTTCTGGCTATCCCATAGCATTGATTTCAAAGTCTCGAACTTATTCAATAACTATGGCCGCTGTGTGGAGGCTTGCATTGTCATGCATAAAAACATATCTATCTATAATTTCTTCCAAAATCTCAGTTACACATCGTGCCGCTGTTAGTGACCCAATCTCAATGTCGCCGTGTTCCGTACATGCCTCCATACAAATAACTCCCCATATCATAGCTGACCTTCAACTATATGCCTCTTTTCCAATCCTGTCCTGCGAGTTCCCTATACCTACTGTCCGGTCTGCCGATACCTCTTGGACAACTCGGTGTTCCACAGATTTTGATACCAGTAATGTTTGGGCCACATGTTTCAATTGGTCTCTTGCCAAGGCTGTCCAAGGGAACTTCTGTCAGCCATCTCTGCCATCTCTGCACAGGGTGGATGACTCACTGGCCCATGACGCAAAGGAGAAAGCCGATCTGCTAGGCTCTCTTTTTGCTTCCAACTCGACTCTGAAGATGACGTGGCGAACACGCTGCCGACCATCCCGCGGTGTGAGTGCTCCATGCGGGAAGGGCTGTTTACACAGCGCTCGGTGCGTAAAGCACTCCTCTCCCTGGACGTCAACAAGTCGAGTGGGCCTGATGGAGTCCCGCCTATTATGCTGAAGACGTGTGCTCCGGAGTTGACAACGGTTTTAACGCGTCTTTTTCGGTACTCCTACTCCCTAGGCGTAGTCCCGAACTCATGGAAGACAGCTTTGGTGCACCCAATCCCTAAAAAAGGCGACCGCTCAGATCCGTCCAACTACAGGCCTATCGCTATCACCTCCTTGTTATCCAAAGTAATAGAAACCATTATTAACAGCCAGCTCATGCGGTACCTTGAGGATCACCAGCTGATTAGTGATCGCCAGTACGGTTTCCGTCGAGGTTGCTCAGCTGGTGATCTTCTAGGTTACCTAACTCATAGATGGGCGGAGGCAGTGGAGCCCAAGTGGGAGTCGCGTTGGCCGTTAGTTTGGAAATAGCGAAGGCTTTCGTGTTTGACACAAAGCGCTTCTTTCGAAGCTGCCTTCCTATGGGTTTCCCGAGAAATTGTGCAATAGGATCACCAGTTTTCTTGCAGATCGGAGCATCAAGGTCGTAGTAGACGGTGCATGCTCCAATTACAAGCCCATTAACGATGGATATTCCACAAGGCTGCGTGCTATCACCAACGCTGTTTCTTCTGCATATCAATTATATGTTGCAAGCCGGTAGCATTCATTGCTATGCAGACGACAGCACTCGTGATGCTTTACACACCGGCCGTGCCAATATTTTTCGGGAAAACGTCGCCGAGTACCGGAACAAACTTGTGTCTGAAGTCAAGACTTTGCTGAACAAAGTCTCAGACTGGGGGCGACTAAATCTGGTCCAGTTCAATTCCCTGAAGACACAAGTTTGCGCGTTTACCGCTAAAAAGAACCCCTTTGTCGTATCTCCTCAGTTTCAAGGCACTCCTTGTTGCCTCAGCCAGTATCGGTATCCTCGGTATCGACATATCGAGTGACGTGCAGTTTCATGGTCACTTGGAAGAGAAGGCCGAATTGGCCTCTAAAAAGCTTGGTGTGCTCCGCAGAGCGGGACGGTATTTCATGCGGGTACATCGCTTGCAACTTTACATGGCGCAGGTTCGGCCTCACATGGAATACTGTTACCCAGTGCCAGCTCCTTCCACTTGACCGCATCCAGCGCAGAGCGGTTCGAATCGTCGACAACCGAGTTCTTTCAGATCGGCTTGACTCACTGGCACTGCATAGAGATGTGGCATCTCTTTGCGTATTTTATCGCATCTATCATGGGGAGTGCTCTGAGGAATTGTTCGGACTATTTCCAGCCGCTCAATTTCACCATCGCACATCGCGACAAAACTTGCGATACCATCCATATCATCTGGATGATTGGCGGTCCACCACTGTACGTTTTAGAAAAAGTTTTCTCCCTCGCACAACTTCCTTGTGGATTCGATTACCACCAGCGATTTTTCCGGACCGATACGACTTAGGGACCTTCAAGAAAAAAACCTACTCCTTTTTAAAAGGCCGGCAACGCATCAGCGATTCCCCTGGTGTTGCAGTTGTTCATGGGTGGCGGTAGTCACTTACCATCAGGTGAGCCGCATGCGCGTTTGCCCCCTCTCCTATAAATAAAAGTTTATATCTAGCATTCTCTCTTTCAGGCGGTCAAGGCAAAATTTAGACGAAACCCAAATTTAAACTCAAATTCAAAAGTTGGCAAAATTTTTCGCAACATGAAAGAACGCAATAATTACATAAAAACAAATGAAATTCGAAAACTTAATTTTTTTAATTGCATAGAAATTCGCAATTTGTTGGAATATTTTTTAATGTATGTTCATCGACAATTGTTTACCACGTTATCCGTTTCAAGGTTATTTTTATTAAAAAGGGGTTTTTCAGAGATAATTCCATAATGGTCAAGATCCTATGAGAGATATGAAGAGACAAGATAAAATCATCAAACCCTTCAACTTGCAAAGGTATCTATCTCCACGACATAGCAAATATCGATTAACCAATTTCGATACTTATTTTATTCCTTGAAGTGGATTTTTTAAAGTTTAATTATTCTTAGGTTATTAGAAATATCGCAACGGCATATTGATCTAATAACATAAGATATAATATATTATAACCTTTATTGATAAACATAACATTTGCGGAAATGTACAGTGGTCAACATCCCTTTTAAACTAGGATATTACGAGTATACCTACCTGTATTTCAGTAGCTAGTTTCCCTCCTAATTCTTAGTTTATTACAATAATTAGCTTATCCATATATATTATTATGTTTACAAGTATCCCTTAATAAGTAGATTATGATAGCAATGTAAAAGGAAAATGCATAATTTATTGTTGCTACTATTACAAGAAACAAGAAGCAATTACGAGAAATAGTATATATTATGTTTAAACGCTCAACGATATTGTGTATATAAATCTAATATAATATTTATTTTATGTAAAAGCGTCTATAATCAGCTTCATAATATATTGCTTCATTAACATTCATAAGTTACCAAAATATTGGTGTTATTAAAGTATTTTTTCAACTATATAAAACATTTATTTGAACCTAGCACTGTAAAGTGGAACGTCCCTCTTTTAAGTTATTTAAAAGAAAGCGATAGCAGCAAAGTAGAAACGGACATCTACATTTTTATGAAAATACATTTTTTACAAAAATGAGCTTAAACCAACCCTATCTACAAGTTAAAATTATTTCAAATTTCAAAATAATGAAGAAAATCTGGCACGTAAATGAAGACATCTACCCTCGATTTAAAAAAAAACGCAGTAGAAATGGACATTTGAATTTGTCCGCCTAGTAGGTAACTCATTAATTAATAATCTATAAAATATTAAATGCAAAGTAAATAAAGACATCTGCAAAATTTCGTCAAAAAAAGGGGAATACTGTTTGCATGTTGCTTAGATTTTCTTTAAATATCCTTAAAAGTATTAATGGAGATTATTATCTTAGTTTATTACATATTTTAAATGAAATGGACGCTTTTTTATCACAATGTATAAACGGATATCAGACATATGTCTTCTTCTACGTCAAAGTTTTTAGAGTAAAAAAAGACATCTAAATTATTTTAGTAAAACAACAACATAGCGATAAAAACTATTACATAATTCATAAAGAATGCTATTTTAATGCTTCATAGAAAATTTCATGTTAATCGATCCATAACTCTCAAAATGACCACAATCTTTTACTAAATCTGCTCTCCTGTAAAATTGCGATTTTGTAGATGTCCGTTTTTACTTTGCTGCCATCGAAAGAATACACGTTCATCTCAATTAAAGCATACAGCGCCAAATGTAAATAATATAAATAGAAAAAAGCACATCATTAACATCAACATCATCATTAATTGTCTCCCCATAGATTGCCTCATATGGGAAATATTTGCCATATTTGCCATAGTTGCCATACTTGACAGGAGGTTTGGCAACCGTAGTTTTATTTTCAATTTTTTGACATTAGAAAGACGCTGCTGCCCATCCCCTGGCTTGTTTCCCTCTGCCATCTCTTACGACACCCACGGGACGATAAACCACATCATAAACATAAGAAAATACTTTAAAAAAACTGTGCTTACTCGTATTACGTTAATTTAAGAAGAAATTCTTTCCAGGTGAGCATACTTCTGCTGTATCTGAGTGCGGGAGTCCGCAGTGAATCGTTACACGACACAATTGAGGAACGCAGCAATCGAGGTGTCTACGCCAGCAACTTCGTGGCGGAATTTGAACCTATCGGCTACGCCGCTGTATCTTTACACCCAACGATACCTGTCATCCATATAATATCACCATCCTTTAAATACAACTTTGGCTCCCCGTACGACGAGGAGATGAAACCAAAGCGCCACCACTATGCCCGACTACCAGCTCATTCTGCATCACTAATAGGTGTGAACAATTATTTCTAAGCTAATTAAACGTGGTATAGCCACGCTGCATCTATATTAAGGTTGTAGCACATGTGGGTCGGCTCGGACAGGGAAGGACCACGCTCTCACAGAATGCCAGCGTAAAATAGCAGCTTAATGCTGCTTTATGATGGTGAGTGTAGAGAACGGAGACCCTTTTCATAGGAAACGCGGCTTTCCATTTAGTCCTTAGGAGTGACAATGCATCTGAATTTTGATTCTTAATTGAGGATAATGTAGATGACTATGGGTCACAGCATTCACTTACCATCAGGTGGACTGTGTGCTCGTTTGTCACAATTATTCTATAAAAAAAATTGTGTGTGGTGGCGGCGTAGGAGAACCTATGACCCCGTTGCCTCCGTGATTGTCGTAAGAAGCGACTATGGAAATTGGCTGAAAAGTTCTTTGGCTTCCGACAGATGACGTTCTACCCATCTCGTTTATGCCAGAAGTAAAAGGTCTTAAAAGGACTAGGTAAGTCAGCGATGTGACGTTTAAGGCAAATCGTCCCTACAACGGGAGTGCAATATGTCTAGGGGTGAACTTTTAAAGGGTGATCAACAAATGTACTGGTAGTACAAATGGGCGTCCCTCAAGGCTCAATTCTCGGCCCCTTTCTGTTTCTTGTATATATTAATGATTTACATAGTAGGGGATAACCATAATATAGTATTATTTGCTGATGACACTTTATTAAAACATGACGAAGTAAATAATCATCATCGTCATCATTACAGCGCTTCACAAGTCCACTGCTGAACATAGGCCTCCCGCCAAGCAATGCTACAAAGCATGGTCCAGAGCCACGTGCATCCATCGACTTCCTGCATATCTTACCAGGTCGTCACTCTATCTAGTGTGGGCCGCCCTACACTTCGCTTACCGATGCGACATTCCCATTCGAGAACCTTTTCTCCCAATCGGTTGTCTGTTTGTCGAGCTATATGTTCGGCCCATTGCCACTTCAGCTTACTAATCCGTTGGGTTATGTCGGTTACTCTGGTTCCACTTCAGATATCCTCATTTCTAAATCTATTACGAGAAACCCCGAGCATAGCTCTCTTCATAGTATGATGAGTGACCTTGAACTTCCTCATACCACGAAGGACGTCTCAGATGCATATTTCATCACAGGCAGTACGCACTGGTTGTACAATCTTTCTAGTGACAGTCTACCTGATAGTAAATACCCAGTGATACCCATGCAAACATTTTCTTTAAAATTTTAGAAAAAACGGAAACGAAATACTAAGAAAAAAACTAATGGTAAATCCAATTGAGCATGCCCTAAGCGCTTTAAAAAAATTACTTATAACATGATCATACGTTTTTTTTTCCAATAATTTTATGTCAAACTTCAATTTAAGAAAAGTTTAGAAAATCCATAAGTGCCCAACTCATAATGCTCATATGATCATCATATCATTATTCAGGTCACTCCATAAAGTCCAAGACGTATTTTAGTATAAATATACTTAAACATATACATCCTACTTACTTTTAGTACCCCATTATTTATTTTGTGCTTTTAAAATATTGTAATAAAAATCTTTGATTACGAGTATTATAATAATCAAGTACTATGTATGAAATTTGGTTTTTCGAATGTTTTGTATTTGTACAGCAATCTCTTTGAGCCGCTGCAAACAACCGATACAGTATCCAGTCATGATGGTGGTTGCCGTCGAAGTGAGTGTGTGAGGCAGTCTAGTAAAATAAATTATTACAAGGCTGCTAAAACACCGAAAATTTCATTATGTCTTAGCCGAAAAAATAATATATTATAAATAAACAAAACAAAATTAAACTTTCACAGTGGTAGAGCCACGCGGCAGCTTTTGCCGTCGCACAGATGGGTCGGCACGAACCGGGGTGGTACCATGACTTCACAGAATACCAGCGTGAAGTAGAGGTTTACCTCTGCGTTCCGCTTGGTGAGTGCAGGTGGCCGGAGGCCCAATCCCCCCCCCCCCCCCCTATCAACATGGTAGCGGAATTAAACAGAAGACTACCCACCAGCACCCCTGGAGAATCCCTCGCTGAGCATCCACGACCAAACTACTCCGCTCCTGGGCGTGGGTGCTCAGGCTGCCCTACGTATTCTGGGGGGGGGGGGGGATTCCGCTCGCGACTAATACTGCTCGGGGCAAGCGGAGCAACAAGACCAAGGCGACCCCTTGGCGACACACTATCCGTGAATTTTTGCAATATCAGGGGACTTCATTCCAACCTTAATGCTGCCCATTACAATCTAGAGACGGCGAAGCCGATCTTGCTCTTTTTAACCGAGACTCAGGTGTCCTCTCCAGCTGATACTTCATATCTCTCCTACCCGGGGTACAAATTTAAACTCTCCTTTGTACCCCGGGCTGGAGTTTGTGTATACGTCAGGGAGCGGTAATGCCGACACAGACCGACTCATCGACCACGTCCAAATGGCTGCAGACTCCGTGCTACAACAGGTCCTATCCGCAGAAATCGTGATACTCGGTGATCTTAACGCCCACCACGCTGAATGGATTGGTTCCCGTTTAACCGATCATGCGGGTAGATCTGTGTATGACTTTGCCTTGGCATATGGTCTAACACAACTGGTTACTTCGCCTACGCGGATCGCAGATGTGGAGGATCATGTACCTTCCCTGTTGGACTCACGCTCCCATCGCAGTTGCGATCTAAAGCTTGCCGCCGTGTTTGGCACTATAGGTCGGCCGATTGGGACGGTATATGGTCTTTTTTTTGCATCCTACCCTTGGGGCCGGGTTTGCTTCTCGGTGGAAGATCCCAGCGTTGTTGCCGATTCTGTTGCTGATGTGGTACTTCAAGGTATGGAACTTTTTATTCTATCCTCTGTGGTGCACATTGGAGGCAGATCTCAGCCATGGTTTGGTCGCTCCTGTAAAATAGCATCACGCTATAAGCAGGAGTGCTACCAGGCCTGGGCTGACGCATCAACGTCCCGGGATGTAAACACCAGCGCTCTTAAAAAGAAGTATAATTCCGCCTCCAGGTCCTTCAAAAGTGTCATTGTCAAGGCAAAGTCAGAGCACATCGGCAGAATTGGCGAGAAACTAGTTCGTCTCCCTTCGGGAACACGTGCATTTTGGTCTCTCGCCAAGGCTGTCCAAGGGAACTTCTGTCAGCCATCTCTTCCATCTCTGCACAGAGAGGATGACTCACTGGCCCATGCCCAAAGGAGAAAGCCGATCTGTCGAGCTCTCTCTTCGCGTCCAACTCGACTCTTGATGACGGGGGGAACACACCGCCGAACATCCCGCGGTGTGAGTGCTCCATGCGGGAAGTGCTGTTTACACAGTGCTTGGTGCGTAAAGCACTCCTCTCCCTGGACGTTAAGAAGTCGAGTGGCCTGATGGAGTCCCACCTATTATGCTGAACACCTGTGCTCCAGAGTTGGCACCGGTTTTAACGCGTAGGCGTAGTCCCAAACTCATGGAAGACAGCTTTAGTGCACCCGAACCCTAAAAATATGTATACGCTCCTAGCTGTCCCGACAAAGTTCGCTCACACAGCTGTAGACTCCACGAACAACTAAGGACGGGGCCGAATGGCTTGGTGGAAATGTTCTATCCTACTACACTTTAAGGGGAAGGCTAGTCGAATAGAGAGTACTTACCTGTATCTGAAGCGACGTCTGCCTCAGGGCTCGGTCAGGCCGGAGGTGTGTATGTGTTGCGTGTAGTGGTGTTTTTGTGGTGTTGGTTGTGATAGACCTGACTGGACCGTTGAAGTCGGCAGCAGCCCGGACTTCGGCACCGCTCCAAATTGTGGTAATCTCCAGCGGCGTCACCCACAGTTACTTTCTTTCTTCTTCACGATGACAGCCTATTAACTTTATCGTACAATTAACTAACTTCCAGACGCAACAACAACTGTTTATTATAAAGCGTAACACACAACACGAATACCGAATGTTCGGATCAAAGGTCACTTCCGTTTCGCGTGGCAACAATTATTTCTAGAACCTAACACGACCTTCTCTAGTGTCACAAAGTTCAGCGTTCAACCGACAACGGAAAATGTTTCCGAACTATATCAAATGCCGCACGAGCAGATTAATATTGTCAAATGCATTTATATACGCTATCAAATTAGAATAACAAAATTCGCGGTAAATATAGGCACGCACAGCACACAATTCAGACGTTGATCGCAATCAATATTAATTTCCTAACAGTCTGTCAACACGGCATCTAATTCTACACTACAATTCCTCGTCGTTGCACAATTTGTTAACAAAACCGATTTAAAAAAATGGAGGTTATCCCGAGCGACTTCACGACGTGCGATCGACCGCACTGCTTTCAAGCAACTGACGTTCTGCGCTTGCGCCCTCTACCAAAGCCACTCTGCTCGCCCGAACGTCACAACCGGTATGGCACCGAGCCGAGCGCCCTCCGGCGTCAAATCCCGAAACCAGCGTTTGGGGTGAACACCAATATTTCTCGGGAAAACGTCGCCGAGTACCGGAACAAACTTGTGTCTGAAGTCGAGTCTTTGCTGAACAAATTCTCAGACTGGGGGCGACTAAATCTAGTCCAGTTCAATCCTCAGAAGACACAAATTTGCGCGTTTACCGCTAAAAAGAATCCCTTTGTCGTATCTCCTTAGTTTCAAGGCACTCCCCTTGTTGCTTTAGCCAGTATCGGAATGCTCGGTGTCGACGTAGCGAGTGACGTGCAGTTTCGTGGTCACTTGGAAGAGAAGGCCAAATTGGCCTCCAAAAAGCTTGGCGTGCTTAGCCGAGCGAGACAGTATTTCATGCGGGCACACCGCTTGCAACTTTACAAGGTGCAGGTTCGGCCTCACATGGAATACTGTTCCCATCTTTGGGCAGGGGCTCCCCAGTGCCAGTTCCTTACACTTGACCGCATCCAGCGCAGAGCAGTTCGAATCGTCGACGACCGAGTTCTTTCTCTTCTCGAGCCTACTCCTTTATAAAAGGCCGGCAACGCATTT